ATGAAATTTTGAGAAATTAAAAATTTGAGCATCTTCATATTTATATTAGTTAAAAGCGGGTCTCCTTAGAGAATTTAAATTATCATTTTGTTTTTGTCAAACAGAAACACCATTTACCGAAAACCTGTTCTGAATCGTAAAATAGAAAATGCAATAAAACTATGACATTATTTAATTAGAAAAGATTTTAGTTGCTTTATAAATAAAATATATTAAGGACACTATTGTCTTAAGAAACTTATTTTTGATCAATAATGTAATTTTACAAAAATAATTTGTTTTCATTTTAATTATAAAATTTAATAAGTTTTAAATCTTTTGAAATTCTGTATTAATTTTAGCCTTTTAGATTATATTATTAAATGAAAACTATATTTGCTAATCATAAATGGAAAAGCTTAATACAAATCAAACACCAATATTTTTAAAATATTTTTTTCTTATTAGTGTATAAAGATGCTGAATTTTGTAAGTAGAGTTGACCATATGCAACATTATTAGAAAATAAGATCGATAACTATATTAAATTTAAAGCCGAAATTACTAAAATTCAATAAAACATTAGATTAGAGAATATTTTCCTAAATTTTTAAGATTACTGAATACTTAAAAATTATTTACAAAAGGTGCTTATGTCATTTTCTTCAATTGTTTTACTGCAGATAAAATCTTCGTAGAACATTAGTTGTCATCATGCTGTCAAACATGTCAATATGGCTACTGTCAGGTTAAAAAATCCATTTCTGCAGGATTTTAAACTTAAAGTAAATAATATAATATAGCTTAAAATTAAAACTAAAATAAAAGCTTCAATAAAGATTTTTTCATTTTTAAAATTTGTTTTAAACCTTAGGTATTAAAGAATTAAATACTGTTTAAACAAAAAAAAAAAAGGACAAAAAGAATATATTATCTCCTCTTAACGGAACTGTGATCCCAACTGAACATAGCCACAAAACAGTAATGGTACGTTTATAAATAAAACTCACAGTTGTAAAACAATTAAAAATATAAAAGCAAAATGTAGACAACCAGAAAACACGGATAAAAATAATTACTAGACACACACACAAATGAATATAGATTATCATCTGAATCTCACATAGAGAAACTAGAATTATAATACACATACACACACGAATCATATACACAAACACTGCTTGACAAGACAGATGCACATGAGATCTGTTTAACCAATAAAAAACAAACAAAAGTTAAAAATAGCAGAATTTTCTTAAAAAATGCCTAATAGATGCACGCACTTACACACAAAAATGAATATACATTATTATCCAAATTCAGTAGAAACAAACTGGAATTATCATGAACATACACATGAATCATGCACAGAAATGCTGCTTGATTAGATAGTTGCACGTGAGGTTTGCTTAACTGGATTTGGGGAGTAGCACAAAAATTAAGAATAGAATTTTCTTTTTCTCTCTCTGGCAAAGTTTTAATAAAAGTGAATAAACGTTTCTTATTTGTTCCTTATCCTATCATAAAAGCAACCATAGGAAATTGTAAAAGTATAAAAGAAAAGAAAATATTTGTGTAGGAACAACATGGTAAAAAGTCAATACTTCTATTTTTCTAGTTTTAAAATTTGTTGGATATCACTTCCATTGTTGTATCTGATCTAAGACTTGACTGTAATCTAAAACTTTCTTTACTGTACAACAGAAGAAATATAAAAATATTGCTCTTTTAAAACATTTACGATTACAGATTAATATCAATTATACATTCTACAAAGTTTAATACTTCAGAAGTCAGACACCATAACATGTGACATTTTATGAGAAAAGAAATTGGCAGACAAAATGCAATGTTTGCTTTATTTATTTTTCAGAATATAATAAATAAAAATTATTCTTTTTTCTTTCAATCATTTCACCCCAATCAAGGCAATAAAACAACTCAGATGCAAGGGGTTACTAAGTGTGAAAAAATATGAGAAAAAGAAAAATATTAAGGAGAGAGAAACGAACAAGAATGAAGACAGAAGATAATGATTGACATTGCATTTTAATTTTTGAAGATCAAAATTAGAAGCTGAAAGAGAGTTCCACTAGTGAGAAGTGTGAGAGAAGAAACTGTTACTACAGAACTTACAGTTATATCAAGCAATTTCAACTACAAAATGAGAGGCATAAATTTGTAAATTCAAAGGACTGAAGCGGAAAGTTCATCAGAAAAATTACCATGAAAATATATATAGAAAAGGCACAAGGAAGTGATATTATAGTAGTGAGAAAGTGACGGAATTTGAGATGCCAGGTCAGGAACAATAACATTACAGATACTTCTTTGGATTTTAATAAGAATCTCTAAATAATAGCAAAAGCACCAGACCAGATGTAACAGCAATATTAAATGCATGGATGAATGTTAGACTTGTAAATGTCTAAGACAGATTGATAATAAGAAAAGAACAATTTTTTTCTAATCATTTCACCCTAAGCAAGGCAATAAAGCCACTAAGATGTGGGGTGTTACTGAATGTGAAAGAATATAAGAAAAAGAAAGCATTAAGGAGCAAGAACTATAAAAAATTATTATTATTATTCACAACAGTATGTTCATAATTTCTCAAAAATTCTGACATGAAAAGAACAACCTTACCTGCTGTTATCTCTTTTATTTTTTCTTGAAGTCCAATAATTTCATCTTTGGCTTGTTGAAGGGATTTTTCTAATTTCTTCTTGCCTCTGAAAAATATTCACATTGCTTTTGTATTTATTCTGTTAATGTTTATATTTCATTTTAGGCATTCATGTTTATGTGTAAAGATAAAAGCATCTCGATGTCTTGTCCATTATCATGATTTGTATAAATTGTTACTGATGCAAACATTAAATAAACATAAATTAATAAGAAACTTTCACCTAAAACAACAGATTTAATCCTAAAGCATTGTCCAGTATATCTAACTAGGTCTCTTCTCTGAAAGATTCTAAGACTTTCTGAAAAGGCAATAACATTTGGAAAAGAAGAAAATGTTAGTTCTGAACTGATGCTACATATTTCCAGATCATCTTAGTAAAGCCAAACATTTTCTGTTCACTGATATTCAGTTGTGTATTTGATATAGTAAACAAAAAAGCCATTGTTTTTATCCTAAGAGTTTAAAACTCACTTTCCCAACAAAATCAATAAAATCTCTTGGAATTGAGTTAGTTTTATAATTGTCTAATATGGCTTTCTTTAATATCATTAATAGATATCCATTTGCCACATTATTTTTAAGTCAAGCATCATTTACTATTCATAGCAAGCTAAAAGTCAAGTGTTGGTAGTCAATCATTCCTGTTAACATACAGCAATTACTTTTATGCAGGTTATGATGGATGGTGCCATGATATAACACTTTAGTCTGCTTACAACCTAATGCAACAATGTTTTTGTCAAGACAAGAAAATTATGGCAATCTTATTAAATATGACAGAACACTCAGAATGACACATGTGCTTTATACTTGTGGTTTTAATATGTGACTCGAATAAGACTTGTTGTTATTTCATATTTCAAGTTGTCTCATCTATTTTTTCATTTAGGTGGACAATAGGTTGTAAATTTATTTATTCCTCAAGCAATGTTTTAAATGAATTTCCACTTCCAAATTTATAATTAAATACATTTATCTTTGCACAAGATTGCTTCATCAAGAGTTTTTCAAATATCTAAACACAGAACACACATTTAAATTTAACAGCTTCTCAGTGATTAAAATTGAATGCTGTTTAATATGTTTGCTATTAACTCTTTTTACTTTTATATCATTCCAAAGTACTAGTGATCAAACCAATTCAGAAAGTTTAAGCTATTGGCAAACAGGAAGCTTAACTTACAAACATATGTGTGCTTCCTAAAATGTTACATCTGAACTGTATTTTGGTTAGTGTTCAGACACTTGGACACTCAAAATGTCTAGCAGGAAAATCAAGGCATTTGAGATTAGTGCCATTGATGTGTCTTGCAAATATTATTTACCAATAAGAGGACAAACTCAATGAGGCCCATCATTACCCATCAGCAATTATTCCTCTGTCGAAAAATAGCAAGGGCAAAAGCAGCATTGTTTGATCATGTCGTGAAAATTTTTTCCATTGCTCCTAACTGCAAAGATCATCGGAAAAAGTGCAGAAGAATGGCAGCATACAACATGCAGTTAGTTGATTTTTGTTTAGTGACAGATCAACCTCTATTGGTTATTTAAGGCTGAAATCTAAATATTTTGTATGCAATTTTATGGCTTCAGCTACATATGTTTTGAATGCAATTTTATAACTTCAACTACAGGTATTTTGTACATCATTTTATACTTTCAGTCAAATGTATGTTTTTTTTTTAGATATATTGTTTGTAGATGATAAAATGTATTGTTGGTTTTTTTTTTATATGTATTGCAAGTAATTTCACAACAAAGATTTTTTTTTTTAATATTTTTTTTAGTGTTGCATTGTTGGTTATTTTGCTATAAAAATGTATTGCTGGTAATTTATTTTATATAAATGTATTGCTGGTATTTTTACTATGAAAATGTATTTCTATACTTTCTTAGAGTTTCATTTTTGCTTTGTTGGAGGGGAGGGGAGGGGAGGTCACTATTTGCGCATCAGTTCTATGCAAACAGTTTCTTCTCTCACACTTTTCATTAGTGGAACTCTTTTCTGGTCTCTTGTTTTCCAATTAACTTTGATCTTCAAAAATTTAAATGCAGTGTCAATCATTATCTTCTGTCTTCTTAATTTCTGTTCTTTTATTCTCTCTTCTTAATAATGTTTTTCTTTTTCTAATATTCTGTTACACTTAGTAAACCCTTGCATCTTAGTGGTTTTGTTGCCTTGCTTGGAGCAAAATGATTATTGAAAAAGAAATTAAAAAAAATAAAAATGTCTGCCTGAAAGTAGATTTTTGTCCTAATTTCAAAATGAAATATTTTGCTTTTCACATTTATAGTCAAATTTATTTTTTAGAATGTGTAGAGCCATGCTTACTTAAATTTGAGGTGAGCTGCACCAGCCGTGGCTTGCTCGGTGAAGTACTGTACCATTTCTTTGTTGATCTCTGAAAGTCTATTTGAGAGTACAGCAGCTGATGTAAGAGAATCTTTTACATTATGAGAAACAGTGTCAATGTCAACATCTATGCTGATTTGCTCTTCCCAAGCCTCATCAATAAACAGCTTGCTGTGCAGAAGAAAAAACTGAAAAAAAAAATGTAATTATTAAAGGCAAAAATATGGTAATTCAAAAACAATTTTAAATTTCCCTAAGAGAAAAGTAGTCAACTTGCCTTGGATTCCATTTACAAACACAAAAGTAATGAAGTTGTCTTATGTCAAAAAGCTGAATTTACATACAAATAAAGTTATTTCAAATATAAACTATTAAGCAGAAAAAAACTCACCTGTGCAAAAAGTGGGCAAAGCAGATTTCATTAATATTTTGCCTATAACTTGGAAATTAATACACTAATAATGGTATATAAATGCACACAAACTTTTAATAGAATTCAAATTGGGTTCTGACATATACCAACAGGAAGGAGGATTAACTATGGGATCACCATTTTCTCCTGTAATGACAAACATTACATGGAATATGTCAAGGAAATGACTATAGAAACATCACTAAACCTGGCTACATAGCTTAGATGCATAGATGATACTGGCCTCATCAGAAAAACATGAAAATAGTGCTGGACCATGTGAACTCAATCAGACCTTCCATATAGTTCACAATGAAAAAAGAAGCATAATATCAGCTAACCTTACTGGATGTACTAATAACTCACACAGAGTATGAGTTCAAGTCACCTGTATATTATTGTTATGGGACCTACCTTTATGGACTAAATGGACTCGTCCTATTACTATATTATGGCTCTCAAGAGAGCTTTCTACAGTTGACGTGTTGACTACTGTACTTTGCTGTCAGTCAGACGTGCAACACTTTTGTATTCATTCTTTTTGTTAATAATCTGTTTTCACTAAACTGCTGAGTTCGAGTTTTCTTTCGGAACTATTCTGGGTCCACAAAAATTATAAACCAACATTCACCAGTTAATACCTGAACTTCAATTCCCAACATCCATGTCAAAAAGGTATTGTTTAAAGCATATATCAATCTGAACTAGTTAGTGATGCCCCAGGCACATAACAAGAGATGATTACCATTAACACCTTTTTGGATAACACCTAGCCTGCAAACATAATGTCATCAACAAGCAGGGATGGAACAGTTTAAGACAACAATCAAAAATCTAAAACACATAAGGGGTACAACTGAAGAATTCAAAACATCAGGACGGTATTCAAAATCAGTTCAACTCTATGGAAAAATCTTTCCTGAACAGTGGGTTAAAACAGGGTTTTTGTGAAATTTTCGAAACACCTTTTCTAAAATTCAATAAAAGAGAGTTACAATCATACTTAGAGTACATGTATTTTAATGTAAAAATTCACCAGAAATTCATTTTTAAGGTCAAACTTAGTGTGTTCATTTTCCTTTTTTAATTTTCAGGAATAATGAGCACAAATGGTATGACTAACAACTTTCAATTTTAATATTGTTACCCTGGAAAATAATTTTTATATTTAAATAAAAACATATGCAATGAGAAATGCATATTGCTAAACATTTTCAAGTTTGGCTAAGCTAGTCAAAATAAACCACAAGTGAAGTGAATAAAATGAACAAATGTATCAATGATGGTGTCAAAAAATAGCAAAAGAAATATGGATAATGAAAGAATGTTAAGGCTTAACTTAGGGGAGTTGGCTTGAAAAAATGTCTATTAATTTATGTAGTGTTATCACTTAGCAATTACCTGGTGTTTGAAATATATTTTGATTTAACTTGTGGGCATTGTGGATCAAGTGATTAATAAATGCAAATTGTGAAAACAGTTTTACATTTCATGCCATATTTGTTTCTTTGCTTTCATTTATGACACTCATTTATTTTGTATACTTATGTGACTGCATTTGTTGTGGATGCAAATTTATAGTTGGAATTTTATAAAAAGTTTTTTTTTGGCTCAGTTCATCAGTGAATATCTTGCTGATATTTCAGATATTTTGGTGTCAAATTCATGCAATAATCTTTCTTTATACAGGAATAAAAACAAGGATTGCATCAGAAATGTTTTTTATAATAGTTTCACGACCAGATTGCTATTAGTTTGCAGCAAAACTATGACAAAAGCAGAAAACCATGACAAAAACAAAAAAATGCTAATTCAGCTGGAAGTAGTTTCCAAAATTGAGGGACTGTATGGAATTATTCTGTCAAATTTACAAAGACAGTTAAATTAGTGCTTCAAAAATTCAATCTATAAAAACTAAACAGCAACATACCGTAAATTTTGATCACAAAATTGCAGTTCTCTTAAAATGTTAGACTGGAATAAATAGACAGGAGAAGCTTAAAGGCACATAGAATAAATACAATACTACAGTATTAGAAATCATTGCAGCAAGGTGTCACCAAAAAAACAACTGGAACACAATGTGACAAGCCTGAGCCTACTGAAAAAGGGAGTATATCCATAATCAGTAACAACAGAAAAGAGATTGGTAGATGAGCACAGGGAAGATAACCACAAGACTATTTAGAAAATGAAGTCAATTCATGACAGTAATAGTTTCTATTGGTTTCATCATAAAACAGATCAATCAAAACTATATGTCCAGAGATATAAGTTTTGATATTGGAAGAACTATGGCTTTCAAGAACTCCAACAGTTCACAAATAATTTGTGATTTGTGAGAACTGAATAACAAAAATGATGGTCATGGTTGGGGTGTTTTGGATGAATCTAAGCTTAAGGCATGTAACAAGCCTATAAAAAAAAGTTTTGCACTTCTCTTGTCTGTAAACATTTACAATTTGAAAAGCTATGTTTTAAGAAGAATTTGGATCAACACAAATCCACTCATTAACAAAGAACCCTTCCTATTTACAAAGAGTGTGAAGTCAATTGCCATTCAACACATTATTGTAATGTCAAGCATTAAAGCACAGATGATGCACTGATGATTTATCTAACTGCATGAATTATTTATTTGACTCATATTCTATTATACTGCATATTGAAAATAAGTATAATATTTAAAAATGTAAACCTTTTTGTCCAGAGAAAACTTAATTTCAGAGACGCAAGTAAATTGTTGGCAAGTATTAAATTCCAATCAAAATGTTATTGTGAAGTGGTTTTCTTCATAAATGGCCATCCCCTGAATAAATTCATTGAATTTTATTCATCAACAAGAGGATTAACCAATTTTTACCAAACAAACAACATGCCATGTTCATGTCTTTAAAATGTAGACACATTTGCAATTCTTTGAAAATAATAGCTGTTATTATAAATATCTATATAGGGGGGCAAAGGGCAGTCATCAACTCTTGTGGAATGAAGTCAAGGTAATAGAGAACACTGGAAAATGAGATGACTGAAAGAATCAGTGCACATGTTAGGCACTGAAAACTTCCTCAATAGACCTAGCATAGAGACAGATAACATCAAAGAGCCTCTGATGAAGAAAGAAAAGACAATCAAAAGAAACCACCAGAGTCAGGACATTCAGTTCCACCACCTAACTACAGATATTAGGTTAAAGGTTCCAAGAGTCACATGTACTAATGAATCAGTGTTGGTTAAAAGAATTTCAGATTCCTTGACAATTGTGAATTTAATCTCTGGATCTGGTGATAGTGTAAAGTCATATACTCTGGTTAAATGAATGTCTAACAACAGTGGAAATCTCTAATATTTGTTTTATTTTGTTTTGTTTTTGTTTTTGGCATGACTGAAGGGTTAACATAATTGAATGTCACAAGATATGGTCATGATTAAATGTTAATCAGGTGAGTTTTATAATTATTGTTTGTGTGCATTTATATAACATTATTAGATTCAAGGTGGTGGTAAAATATTAATGAAATTTGCTTGGTTCATTTTTTTTTCACAGCTATATATATATATATATATATATATATATATATATATATATATATATATATATAAGTGGATATTGAAATCAGCATTTCATACTTTGAACACAATCTTCAGGCCATGTGACTATTTATATATGATGCTCAATGGGGCATTATGAGTAACAAGGTCAGGTATTTCCAGTTTATTGAATTACCCTAACAGTTATTGGATATGTAGCAATGATTATATTTCAAATTATTTTAGATGCTATTGAGTAAAAATAATTGTGAATCAGAATGGGTTTATTTGTATCTATGGTATAGGGTTGTTTGTTAACTTTTAACTCATTATTTATTATTGACTACTTAGGGTATTTTTATTTATTCATTGATTATTTGTTATTGAGTATAATTAGTATATTTACTTAGTTATGGTTACCTCCTGAGGACAGAGTGATTCCTAGAGAGTTTGCCTATGAAATTCTAGAGTCAGGATGCTGAAAGTAATATCAACAGTGAAGTGATAGATCTTTTTATTTGAATTAATTATATATATATATATATATATATATATATATATATATATAGATAGATAGATAGATAGATAGATAGATAGATAGATAGATAGATAGATAGATAGATAGGAAGGGAGGGAGGGAGAGAGATCTTCAATATCTAAAATGGAATAGTTAGGAAAGAAAAAAAAGTATCTATGAATAAATAATTGTTTTGTTAGATAAATTTAATTTATAACGTTGTTTTCTATCAAAATAAAACTAATTACCTCATTAAGTTGGTTAATCAACTTTAGTTTCTGTTCACATATAGTAGTATGTCCAACTATAAACACTGTCACCTGGTTTTGATACTGAAAAAAGAAAGAGGAGGATTAAATACCAATAGAATAAAGGAATACAGACATTGTATAAGTTGCGAGAAAACTATTACATAAAACATTCCTATTTCTTCTTTCTCAAGCAAATTTAATTATTGCAGTAGTCACTTTGAGTTGAATAAATTTGAAATGGCAATAACAATTATTCTCCAAGCAAAGAGGTTTCCAACACAAAACTCTATTACAATTTCATTTACTCAATATTATACTGAACTGGAGATCTTGAAATCTTCATTCTATTGCAGCCATTAAAAATACCCCTCAATACTATAGAAAAGAAGTCGATTTACCTCATGTGGCAAAGCAAGCAAGTATGGCATGAAAAAATGAGTGAAGGAAAGGAAAAAGAAATATGGCTGCCCTGACACCTTAATTTAAGAAAGACAGTTTTGGAACTAGGAGAATTTGCGAGAACGGGTGAACATATGTGAGATCGGCTGGGCATAAAAGTCACAACACAAGAGAGTATAGGACAGTTCATTTTTGAACGCTTGTACAGAGGCTGTCAGTTGGAAAGAGATTATTTGGAACAGTTTCACGCAAATACTAGAAAGAGCAATAACATTCAGTGATTGGATTTGAGAAACCTAGTTTCCTGAAAAACTGTTTTAAGAAAAATTTCACTGAAAGTAATGCAAACTGTTCAGTCAATGAATGCAGAATATTTCCTTTTAAGGAAGCAGTTAATCTTGCTATTACCATTACCATCAATTTCCAATCCTTTGCTGTCTACTTGTTGCCAGGATGTTTGAATGGGGTGTAATGGATAGCAGCTCAGAATGAGAAATATGAAAACTAATTTTGAATTCCAGTCGGGTTCATTACATTCACAAATACCCATGGGAACAGTATAAATCCATTTCCTCGAGCCAATTTCCTGCTGCTAGGAAAGTTGATTCACAGTCATGCTAGACAATTTTTCTTACCAGAATCTGTCTTGTATATTTATAAATCTACCAGTCATCCATGCTTTGAATATTGCTGCTACATCTGGTTTGGTGTTTCTGCTATATATATTTAGAGATTCTTGATAAAATCTAAAGAATCAGCAATGTTATGGGTTCTAACCTGGCATCTCAGCTTCAATCACTTTCTCACTGCTGCAATGTAGCTTTTTTTATAAATACTTTCATGGTAATTGTTCTGACGAACTTTCCTCTATGGTACCTAGACTCTATAAATTTAAACGTAGTACTAGATTGATGGCAAGGTCTCATCATTTTACAGTTGAAATGGCTAGATGTAACTATAAGTTCTATGCTAACAATTTCTTCTCTTGCACTTCTTGCTTGTGAAACTTTGTTCTGGCTTCTTGCTTCACAGTCAACATTGATCTTCAAAAATTTAAATGCAATGTCAATCACTATCTTCTGTCTTCTTGATTCTTTTATTGTTTTCTCTTCTTAATAGTATTTTTCCCATATTCTCTAACACATAGTAGTTCCTTGTGTCATAGTGGCTTTATTGCTTTGCTTGGCAAGAAATAATATAAAAGAAAAAAAAATTAGAATTTTTGGAATAATCAGTCTAATCAATTATTTGTTAATCAATTATTTTTGTCTCTCTGATTAATATACTTGGCAAAGAAAATGTCACCAGATGTACAGCCTTATACAGAATATTTCTTTTTTTTTTGTTCTGCTATTTTGAATCCTAAAATTTTCCCATGTACATTTAATCAAATGAATCAATGAAGCCCAAATGACTTACCAATTCTTTCTTTACTTGATCTTTTAAGATGCAATCTAACTGATTCTGAAAACAAAAAATTTATAAATAAAAATCTTTAAAGTGAGAATTGTCTAAAATGTATAACAATCTATTTCTCTATTAAATACCAGTTTCTTTCAGAATTATTTCAATCATCTTTCACAATAAAAAATTTTTTAAAATAGTCTAAGCGAAAGAAGAATATTATATTTTTCAAAAGATAGTTATTTAAATGTTTTATAAAAATAAATAAAAACTCTACTCACAATATCTGAAATATACTCAAAACTGGGAAGTGATACATCATCAGGAAAGGCTTGTATTTCATTTTGTACCAATGAACTATAAATCTGAAAAAGACATTTTTGAAAATAACAATGAACATGCGTAATAAAACAAATCAACCAATATCTTACTCTATATATTAAAAAAAAAAAAGTTGACTGTTTGCCAAGCAAAACTATAGGACAAGGGTCGGCAACCTACATTTTGACCAGCCCACAAGCCTGATTACCAATGAATCTATTTTTGACATGAGAGACGATCTTCAAATGAAATTTGTTAAATGTCATTTTCCATAGAATGTCTACACATCTCAGTGCACTAAAAATATTAGACTATCTGCCAGTTATCTTTCATGAGACTTATTTTACCACGTTGCATTGCCTACGTTTAATGTCAAATAATGGATACATAATTGTTATGACCCTTGGCTACATTAAAAGATAACAGAAGCGAAAGGAATGATAAAGTGAAAGAGGCCACGGAGGGACTGACATGCAAGGTAACAGAAATCTAAAGACAGTTAAACATACGCACATTATACATACATGCCTCATGAATGTGTGGATGATACCACATGTGTACGTACATGAGTGTATATGTTTGCAACTATTTGTACTCGTATGTATGGGTATATGTGCTTCATGTGTTTGATGTGTGTGTGTGGTTCAAACCTACAGATCATAATTTCATCCATTTCACTTTGGTTGATTTTTTTTCACTTTGAAGTATTTTGACGTTCCTTGAGGAAAATTAGTTTTTGTTAGGTGTTTTTTAATTTTAGATTTTCTTTTGTTTTTCTGATTTCTCAATGTTTATTTTCATTATGGTTTTAAAAATTTTGGTTGACAGGGGTCTGAATATGTAATTTTCCTTAATTTTTCATTAATGGCCTTTGTCTGGCCCACAACCCGTCATTATAACACAATCCGGCCCGCAAGGTCGAATGAGTTGCCGACCCCTGCTATAGGACTCAGTCTGTGTCCTGCTATTCAAATAACTAATAAGGGTACACAAAAAAAATACTCAGATTAAAATTGTGTTTATAAGAAATTGGAAATCAAATATTATAAATTAATTTTATGAAATGGATTAAGCACAAAACAAAAAATTAAGGTTCTCTTCGTCCGTGCAATGAATAGTGCTACTACATCTGGTCTGGTGCTTAATATCTACAGATTCTTGACAAAATCCAAAGAAGAATCAGCAACGTTATCAGTCCTGACTTGGCATTTCAATTTCAGTCACTTTCCCCCAACCATAACACAGATTCCTTTGCCTCTTCTATAAATATTTTCACAAGAAGTGTTCTGATGAGCTTTCCCCACTGGTACCTTGATTTCACAAATGTAGTATCCAATTTACAACTACATTTTATAATTTCACAGTTGAAATTGCTAGCTGTAATCGTAGATTATATGCTAATAGTTTCTTCTTATGCATTTCTTGTTTGTGAAACTCTGCTGGCTTCCTGCTTCTCTGTCATCTATAATCTTTAAAAATTTAAATTTAACATCAATTACCATCTTCTGTCTCCTTGAACATTGTTCTTTTATTGGTCTCTCAATTTGTTTCCCTCTCAGTAATCCCTTGCATCTTTGTAAGCTTTTATTAGTCTTGCTTGGTGTGAAATGATTTAAAACAAAAATAGCCCATTTTTACATTAAATTTGTTTCAGATTTAAACAGAAAAAAAATGATAAAAAAACAAATTTCAAATATTAAAAGAAGCTTGTGTTTCTTTAGCATAAGACATTTTTAATAATACATTAAAAAGTTTTCCTCAAACAAGTATGTTAGCAATTACATCAAAAACAGTCAGCAAAAAACTTTTAACAATTAATCTTAAAAAAAAAACAAATAAAAAACACCTGGATCTTAATTCGAATAATTATTCAACAGAAATGTCATATTTTACAAATTATATTTTTGATTTGTTTTTTACGGCTTATCAACCTTTCTGAGGTTATTGAAAGGCAAAACATTTTTGGATTGTAAGAATTTTTTAGAGATAATGATTTTTTAATAGAAGTCTTATTATTTAACCCATAGCTGAGAGGAAAAAAAGGTAGATTTCAAGGACATTTGTTCATAAGTGAATATAACAAACCTGAATGGAATTCAAACTCAGCTCTAATTTCTCATTCTGAGCCTTTATCCACTACAGCACCCACACATTCAAGCTTATAGCACATCGTATCCCTGAATAATCACCCACCTAGGCACTGACAAAGTTCAATGTTGCATAACTTTGGTGATTGGACAAGAACCTGAGTTTCAATATGATATGGCTGTGGGCAAAAATTGTAACTCAAAAAGTAGGTCACTTTCAAGTATTTAAATTGCTACAGATGCTTTATAAAATAATTTACTTAAAGAGTTATTTACATGCAGATTATTGTCCTCATCTTTGTTGCTATTACAACATTTCAACCATTGTGAACACATCAGGTACTTGCTGATCTAAGTAAACTTTAGGGAATTACGAACTGAACCCTTTACTTAATCTACAAAGGTAGAGTGTTCTTGTTCTGCTTTAGCATGTCTAGGGATATTTCATCTAGTTTTTATTTAGTACTGGTCAGTTATTTGCTCACCCTGTTTCTACGGAGTCCAAAAATGTACTGCCAAGTCCAGGAATTGAACCAACACTTTAATCCACTAGGCTATTGTTCTGTATTCAGACAGAAATTAATTAAGGAGGCTTTATTAAACAGAGAATAAAGTTTAGGTTGTGAATGATGAACACACTATTTCTTAATAACAAATTATTGTATTGACTCTCTTCAAAGTCAAGAAAATCAATAAAGCAAATGAAGCAATGATTGAACATTTCAGTTCAGCTTTGGGCAAGATAAACAGAGGAGGAGTATTTGCAATCTACGTACATTGTTCACTCTACTCATTACTTTTTTAATTTCCTCTTTTGTCTCTTTGATCTGTCTTCTGAGGAGAGACTGAGAGTTCTTCTTGATGATGGCC